AAAATATGTAAATCTCTCTCAAGTTTTTACAGCTCAAAAGCTTGTTAGAATGAGATGAATGAAGAAAAAAATATATGCAAATTATGTGCCAAAAAAACCTTGAAGGGACATTATTTTATATCACAGATGCATCTTTGTCTGATTAGTATGTTTATACAAACGTGTTAGTTCAGTGGCTCATTCAGTGTCGCCTTTGAATAATAAAATGGGTGGAATTAATTTAATTGATTAATACAGCAGAAGTGAATTTAGTTCATATTTATGGTTGTAAATCTCTCAGAAATGTGGTTGCATTTTTAATCACTGCATATGGCACATCCGAACTGAACCTTGTTGAAGGTTTTATGCGGAAGCTAAATATGTCCTAAAGACCCCATAAAGTGAGGTATATTTTCTGCATATAACTGCAAAAATGGTCACATTCAGATGATCATTTAACATTGCCTTTTCTTCCAAAATAAGAAAATGAATAAGGAGGTTTTAAGACTAAACACATGCGCTGACGAGCACAGTGTAGGAAGAGGAAATGAAACTAATCTCCCCATGTTTATTTTGGCTCCAGAAAGAAAATTGTGTGGCACAGCAAACAGGATTTGTCCTTCGTTTCCCATCATATCTCAGCAAAAGTGTGTTTGTCAAGGAGCCGTAGGCTTACGTGGAGAGCACCTTTACGATGCAACACCACCTTACCCGTCCTCTTTCTTTGAGTCAGCTAGGCAGGGGTCCAGTCTCCCTGACCACACATGCCAGTTCCCCTAACCTTTCCTCGCTCACAGTCGTGCACCACGCACACAACTCCCTTCACAGCAAGAGACTGAAGTGCACTCTATCACTTTGCCAAGTGCACTTTATCAGTGTGTCGGCCCGGAAATCAAAGGCAGGTCATTTGTCCTAAGGCAGCACATGTTTACTTTGAGTTGTTGCTCTCGCACCCACCCACACAAAAACTATACTGAAATTCAAGCAACCGATGTACTCACGGTTCAGTCAGAGAGGCGATTAGGCCTTGCTTCAGTGGCAGTGTTTGAAGAGGGAGGAAATTATCATTTGTGCACATCCTGAAGGGGTAGACTAGTAGAGATACAACAACAGATAAAAACCAGATAAATCCTTCAATTAATTTTATATGAACCATATACTGTTTTTCATTGAAAAACTCAAGAACGTTTTCTTTTTAGGCTTTGTAAAGTTTTTTTAAAATGATTTTTTTTTAATAAATGTGTAGTTTGTAACTGAAAATTATACATTTATATTATAAAAAATTATATTACAGTTATATTACTAAGTATTAGTTTGATACTTCATTACTTTTTGTAATCATATGAAAACTGATAATAAACAAAATGTTAAACTTCATAATCCTCCTTATAAAATGCTGTTACTTACGCAATGTGTTTTGAGAGTTCAGGGTCAGTGAGTTTTCAATGAAGTCCTTTATTCTTATTTGATCAAAAAATACCAAAAAATACAGCAAAAACAGTAATATTGTGAAATATTATTGGAATTTAATTTTTACATTTTTTTAATTTTAATATATTTTAAAATGTCATTGGCAAAGCTGAATTTTCAGCATCATTACTCCAGTCGTCAGTGTCACATGATCCTTCAGAAATCATTCTAATGTGCTGATTTGATGCTTAAGAAACATTTCTTCTTCTTATCAATTTAGAAAACATTTGTCCTTTTTAATAATTGATCAGGATTCTTTGAATAGAAAGTTAAAAAGAACAGCATTTTCTTGAAATATTTTTTTTGTAACAATGTAAAACTGACCTTTTGATCTATTTAATGTATCCTTGCTGAATAAAAGAATGAAGTACTTTCAAAAGAAAATAAAAAAAATCTTACAGACTCCAAACTTTGAACGTAAGTGTATTTTTTGAGCTCTCACATTTCTGAAAAAAATGCATGTCTATTTTGTGGTCAAAGAAAGGCATAGCATTTCAATAATATTTGCCTACTGGCTTTCGATTAGATCAGAGAAATATATTGAAGGAGCCTGAAGGGAAAATATGAGGTTCATTAAAACATTACTCATTTAGCAAGGATGCTTAAAATTGATCAAAAGTGATGATAAAGGCATTTATAATGTTACAAAAGATCTCTATTTCAGATAAATAGTGTTCATATCGATATCGGAATTATATCGTATCGACCGAAATTAAGAAATATATCGTGATATCAATTTTGGCCATATCATCCAGCCCTAGTACAGTATTTGAAAAATAATGTTTTTTGAGCATTAAAGCATGTCAACATATTCTGTTACACCAAATACACAAAATAATGATCTTTAAAAAAGCATCATATGACACCTTTAAATACTTGTATATCATTGGGGTCTCTGGGACCCCAAATATAACAATAGCAAGTCACTCTCAAAATGAGTGTTCAAAGTGCAGCTTCCTCTGATGTTATGAGACTGCTGGATTATTGCTGCTTTTCTCAGCTCTGCATATCCTCAATGAATCCTGAAATCCCTCATATTCGGCTTAGAATCAGAGTCAGGGGTATTTTGCAAAAGTGAGTGTTTGATACCACAGCCAATTTTCTATATTCATTATAGTCTTTCATTGCAAAAGGGCCTGGCATATATATAGGAATCAGAATATTTTAGCGATATCATAGAGGTAGGCATGGAGCTGTTAGCAACTGCCCAGCAGCGTCCTAGCAACAACTTTGAACACATTAGCGGCTACCTAGCAGCCATTCAGGACACCTTACTAAGAAAGTCAGTACAACTCCAATGTCATGCCGGTGAGTTGTGCGTTGCTCGTATGTATAAATCTAGATGATTTTTTTTATTGTGAAATTTTTCTTTTTAGTGTTTGGGTAAACATGCATCCTCTTCATGTAAGAGAGCATCTGACATCTGACTGCAACATCACGACTAGACTAATAGTCTCTCTGATGCTGTTATGAAAGATTGCTAAACTTTGCAGGCAGCTCGTTAATAGTCTCTGAAGTCGTGATATTTTCTGCCTCACCATCTGTGGTGTTTTCTTCTCTCTCTCTCTTTTCCTTAGCTCTCCTTCCTGTCAATAATGTCACTTAGTGTTCTGGAGGTGATTTGTCCTGGAGACATTCAGTGGTTTAATACTGACTAAGCAAGAAAAACTCTCAGAATACCAGACCAGACCAGGACGTGACAAGATTTCACTCCTGGTTCATTTTGCCATCGACAACCGTCGCAGTTTCCATTTCTCATGGCGTGCTTTAGATTGTAACACAGTGAAATTTATTATATCCATTAAACACACTCAATATAACTCGGGTCGTTTAGTCTATCTCTCCTGGTTTGCGATTGGTTTGAGCCGATCAAAAGTCAGACACCAAAATGTCTTTAGAACTGTTTATCTGGGGTGAAAGAACCCATTATATATGAGCATGCAGATTTAAGAATTAACACATGCCAAAAACCAAATGCATTAAAAATGTTACTTTCTTGATTAAATAAAACAGTTTCTCGCTGATGATCAATAATTTTATTAGGAAATGCAATATTGCATGGTCTAAGTCAAGCTATTAAAATAATAATGTGCTCCTCTCTGATTTAAGTGGTTTGCGCAACTTGTTAACACTTTACAAAAATGTTTTGTTTTGTTAGCTAACATTAGTCAATGCATTAGGTATTGTGAGCTAACAATAAACAACATTTATCAATCTAGGTTAATGGTATTTTTAAAAATAAGCTGTTGGTTATTGTTAATGCATGTTTCTTCATTATACATTAATAAAAAAAATATACTTATAAAAATATACTTAACTTAAAATGTATTAGTGTATGTGGAAATTAACATTTAGCATCATTAAAAATACTGTAAAAATTTTGTTGCTTGGTAATTCATAATATTTGGTGTTAACTAATGTAATTGAATTTAACCTCATTAAGTGTAACCTGTGGTTCAAACAAAAGGCATAGAGTCTACTAAAGAAAACATTTGACAAGGCTTTGTGTTCATACCCTTTTTTTACTTTAAAAATTAATCATGTTGTGATACCTGTGTGTAATATACAAAAACAAATATATGAGGAATATAATTATAATGTATCATTATTGTTTGTTTGTTTGTTTTACAGAGAGACAGTATATGATCCATCAATTTAAAAACGTGTGAACAGGATCCATAGTCAAAATGCAAGCAAATCAATTCGGGAATAATATGGAAGCGCGCTAAATAATCCCATTGTCATGTGCACAAAAATATATATTGTTTATAAAAATTATGCAAAATACAATTTCATGGCTAGTAAGAATATTTATGGCCTACTATTGGCAAAAACATAATTTTAGACCCTGTGTGTGTTTTTGCACTGCGCTCCATTTGGATCTCTCAGTAGGGGGGGTTGTCTCTGAGGTTGGCCGCCCCTCTCAGTGAAAACACGCACCCGCTGGCCTGACGAGCGCACAGGGATGTAATGAGTCTTCCAGACACGCTGTTTTCTGCTTTGTTACCATCCTTCCTCACTCGTGATTCATAGCCTTTTGTTTGCAACTGCCACAAAAACGGCAAACAAGCCCTGCTTGCAGCATTTTGTTTTAGCCATTTTGTTGTTTAAACACCCCCTGCATGCAGCCCATATGTCATGATATCCACCTCTCCACAACATTTTCACATGCCTTTCTGCTGCTTTTTCCACTCCCTCCCTCATTCGCCCTGTCTTTTTGCATCCCCCCCCCCCTTATTCTTCACTTCTCTTGTCTCCACAAGCCTCGGTAGAGTGAGAGCACATGTGGGGGTGGGGAGGAATCACAGCTGAATTAGTTGTGTCTCTGATTGGCTGAGAGGCCGGGTATTGTGGGTAAGGGGGGTGGGAGAGAGCGTGGAGCGGGCGGAATTTGTTTATTACATATTTCCCCCCCTTTCCCTTCTGTTATCACGGCAACGGCTCCTCCTGTACAAACATAAAATAGACAGTGGAGGGGGAAGTATCAGGCTCACTGTATACAAGGGGAGGGGTGTGTGTGTGTGTGTGTGTTTGTATATATGTGTGTGTGTCTGCCTGAGAAAGAGAGCCATTTAATTTGTGGAGTGAACAGGGATATGCGTCAGTTCGTCCGTCGTATCCAAGACACTGCCGATGCCGCGTCCACAATCTGCTCAACGTCACTGTTTCATCAGGCGAGAGAAGAGAAGAAGACCAGAACCACCAGAAGAGAGGGACAGGCAGAGAACGAGAGAAAAGCGAGGCAGTGTTGGTGCACTGATGCTTGTGTGTGCGTGTATTTGAGCATGTCTGTGTGGGGCTGCCGGCGGTCCGCTGCTCCTTAGTTACTCTGGCTTCTTGCTGCTGCTGTACGTCCTTCATCCTGTCTGCCTCTGACACCATGATTTTTTGTAATCACTTAGGCGAATACAAGAAGGACGAACTCCTGGAAGCTGCGAGGTGAGTACATGCCTTCTCAACCGTTCCTCTTCTCATTTGCCACTCTCCCATGAATTCCGTTCTCTTTCTCCCTCCCTTGTACTGTTTCCATAGTCACTGTTTTTCTTTTTTCTGTGCACATGGATGTGAATTAAGGCATGTGTCGGAGAAGGTGCTATCAGGGCTGGTGATGTCTGACTCAATAGATGTGTTTTCATACGTGCATGTGATGGCCTGCAGGAGCCTGTTATCTGCACAGAGGACAGCCTGAAAGTTTCCATATAGCAGCATGCCATGGGCAGAAAACTATATTCCATGTAGTGAATTCGGTTTTCCGAGTGCTGCAGGTGAAACCAGAGGAAGAGGATGCGAAGGAGACACAGAACTTCACATCCTACTTGTTGTCCAATTTCACCAAACACCTGATTGTCACCATGGGACACATTGCCATGGAGAAACAACCCTGCCTCGGGAAACATCTGATGAGCCTGCAATCCCAGCAGTCACTGCCTTTGTCACAGAGAAAAGATGTTCCTTTTCATACTTTGGTCTACCTCTCCATTGGTTTTGCCCTCCTTTTTATACCCCTGCCTTCAGGCACAGCCCGCAGCATGGATACAAATCAGGACTCTTGTTGTTTTAATGATCAAGAGAGAAAGGAACTACAAAGGCCTTGTAATTCTCTCCACTGTTAGGAAGAAAGTTCATTAGGAACACATACGATCACAGGGGGCTTCACTGTTGTGGAATTAAGTTGATCTCGGTCCCCCTCTCCTGAAGACGGCACGAGTAACCCTATGAATTGAGAATTGTTTGTAGAGACTTGCGGAATGGAAGATGGACGAAGCTGATAGACACACAAACAATTCGCTAGAAAGTCGGGTTTGACTTATGGCCTGCGGTCCTCTTAGTGGTAATCTCCCGAAGACCAGGATGCATCTTCAATCCCATCAAGAAGATTGATGACACCCTCCCTTTTCTCAGCCTCTCTTCCCAGTTGTAGTCTCCCAGCCAGTCCTATTTTACCATGTCGGCGGCAGTGTGCGCATTTAAATGAAGGATCTTGTGTTGTTCACTGAAGCCAGTTAACTGTAGTTACTGGCAAGTGGAGACCAGAGCAACTGGAGAGGAACAAACCGTACTGTTTTTGCAGGAAAAGAGGAAAACTCCTCTATGGCAGGAAAAAGTCGACACAAGTCTGTTTTTGTATACTTGCAAGAACCTGACAGTTTCCAAAGATGGAAAACTTGATGTTGACATGTTCTACTACATTGTTCGGCAGCTGATATGTCTCTTTGCCATTGTTCACTTTTTGATTAACGTGGCATCAGGCCCATCTTTGGCCCCAGATGGCACAAGGTTTTGGCCGTAGAGGTTGCAGGCCTGGTATATCTAACACTGTCATACTTGGTCACGCTCGGGCTGCTGGCGAGACGTAAAGGAATCACTGGCAGGTGCTGATGAGCCAAACCTCTCCAGGCCACGGCTCACTCCAGTTACAGTGAAAACTTTATATAGGGTATCCGCAAGTGCTACTCCTAGGCATGTGATAACTGTATATTGAAGTTACAGTGTCGGTTACTTTATGTTCTTTAAAGCAAACCTCTGATAGATGCTGCTCATCTTATGTGCTCCTCCTCTTTTGACTATGGCTTTCATTCACCCATCTCTCCTTTTACCCTTCACTCCTCATCTTTTCTGTGAAATTCACTGTGTTAGCTTGTTCTTTTTTTTTTTACTTTTTACTGTTCCCTCTTGTTCTTTAAAAAACTGCTGCTTTGCTTCAGGAGCGGAAATGAAGAGAAGCTCATGGCCCTGCTCACGCCATTAAATGTCAACTGCCATGCCAGCGACGGTCGTAAGGTAAGAACATTCACTGCACCATAAACATTTGATCACTGTTGGTGAAAACTCCATAGAACTGTTAATATTCTCCATCTGACAAACTTCCAAAATGGAGTCAAGGTAGAGCCCATATTTAACTGAATTAATTTAATAAACATCTCTCGGCAGAGTTAATGACCCTAGTCTCAGTCAACTTCTGTCTAGGGTTATTATAGTTTTCAATTCTTAATATAGTTGTATTTCGATTTTTATTTTCATTTTGTTTTTTTTTGTTAGTTTTCACTCATTGTTAGTTTTTCTTCTCCAGTGTTTTTTACTTTCAGTTTATTTAGTCTAATGGCATTTTCATGTTTAATGTAAAGGGTTTATAGTATAGCATGTATCAAAAACTAATACCTAAAAATTACTTTGTTCTGTGGTCAGTTTTGCACTCTTGAAAATGTGTTTGAATTAAGTTTTTCTTAGTTGTATTAGTATATATATATATTTCAGTTAACAAGAACATTTTATTTAGTTTTGTTTCATTTTCATTTATGACACTAACACAGCTTTTGTCCTGTTGGAAATTATTGTTCCAACCAAAATAGAATTGATTCAAGTCAGCTATTGAGACATTGCCTTCATTTGCATATTTAATTAAATATGGTGTCTACCAGGCTTCATTGTGAGAAATGCAGCATTGTTCACTTCACCTTGCATGCAATGAGCTTATTTGCAGTTGAAAATAAGTTTAATATATTTCATCATCATCATTGGGTTTAAAGCTGAAGCTAAGGAGCATCACTCTGAATTTTTATTTAATTGCTTTATATTTAATCAAGTACATCACTCAAGTAATTTATGTGGAACTGCCATTTAATTAGACTAGTTTTTGCTGTCGTTGTTGCACATGAAATTCAGGCCTCAACATTTCACTTATCAGAGAGTTTTAGGTTCAGAGAAATATTGCTTGTATTGGGTTCCAAGATTAAAGCACACCCTCAGGTTTCTACTGCGGTTTACTTGCAGCAAGAGTACTAGCCTACACTTCACTCTTTGTGTTTAACATGAGCTTTAAGAGTTTTTTTTTTGTTTTTTTTTGATGATGCATATGGACTTAGAAATAGTAAGTGTGTTTTCAGATCGCATATATCTATTTTAAACAAGACATGTATGAATTTTGTCAGCAGCACATGTTAGATTGTGTACAATGACTTCTCCATCGATATTTATCACTGAGGACAAGATAGCAGCAGTGAAAGGGTTGCAGAAGAGTCCTAATCTCTCAGTGAGATCAGGGGCTTGATTTAGAGGAATTACTCTCAGCCGGTTCTGCAAGTAGTCCTCATGCATATTTATCGAATATTGACTGATTTCCCAAGCGTGCTAACCAAAATGTTTTTTTTTTTTCCTTGCTTTGGTAAACATCTTGAGAAGAGTCTGTCTGCAGACATGCACTCTCAGCTCATATGCACTGTCTGTGACTACTGAAAAGTGTTTAACAAAGATTGGTGCGTTATTACATAATTATTCTCTTATTTCAGCTATTTGCTCTTCATTTTGAATGTGGCAGTAATAATTTTAGATTGCCAATGCAGCATAAATAAGCACTCTGAAGGACGCTGTGATGATTTGCCAGTTGTTTTTTCTCAGTGCTGGTCGGGATTAACAAATCACTGTCACTTGTGATTACAAGCTAAGACATTTTATTAAATAATTTTAAAGAAATTACAGGATGGATTTAATTTTGTATGTCAGGTACCAATCCTCTAATTTCATAGATATTTTTTAATACTTTATAAAATGTCTGCAGATTTGAATACAACTTAACATAGGATTTGTCTTTTTTTAATGTATTATGCATCAGTGTAATGCTTAAAAAATAACACAAACACAATCCTAAAATGTCTAACTGCAGTTACATACATGGTTGTATTAGATAGAATGTGTTGCATTTACACATTTATCAATGTGTCTGTTTTTTATAAGTGTGTATGAACAAATCTGATTTGAGATTTTACTTGTTTCCAGTTTTCTTGAATAGAATGCAATTGATGTCCAGACAGTGGACCAGCAGAGTGCCGTTCGACTCCTGAACATTTTAATGCAGTGCAGAGCTGCATGCATAAAAATGTCTCAGCGCTGCTTACTGCCATTTATTTTGCAACATTTATAACACAACATAAATGCCATTTCACATTGCGCTAAGCATTCTTGTTTTTTTGTTTTTTTTAAACAGCCTAGATTGAAATTCATCCCTGAACTTGTTTAACAAGGTTTCTATTCATCTTAAAACAGGTGAGTGGAGGTAAAGGCTCACTGAAGATGTACCTGAGATTGGCTTTTATCGAAGTCTGATGCTCGTTACCTTAGTAATTTCAGAGAGTGTTTCTGTGTGAGATGCCATCATTAGTAAAGGGATTACAGTATTTAGATGTATCTGATCTGCACCCTCTCGAATGAATCTCAATGGATTCAACCCACTCAGAGAATAGATTGGCATTGGATTTCGTGTTTAATAGATTTTGGTTCATGATGCGTAAGAATTTTACAATCACCACGATGATGCTTATTCCAACACAAAGAGCTGGCGTGTGCATTATGCCTGGTATAATCTTTAGGTCTTTTGGACTTAATGAAAAAATGCTCTTTCTGGGTCCATCTGCTTTAGTTGTCTGTTTTGCTCTCCCAGGCTTTATGGGTGTATAAAGCTCAGTCTAAGCTAGTGTCAATAGCGGCTTCTGCCTGAATCGCAGAGATGCCACTCTCCTGCCTTTTGTTGCTTTCTTTGCCTCTGAATGCAACCCTTGGTGCACTCACTACTTCATTAGATATAGAGAGACACTGCAGGAAGAATAGAGCATGTCCGGTTGCAAAGCCCAAATCCTTTGTTTGTTTGATGTAATCAGAGGATACCGTCTTCTGTAGATCCACCGAGAGATTTGTCTATTGTCTGTTTACCTGGTTTTATTCCTCCCTGCTATACAATGAAGAGAAATACCTTGGAAGTGTGTTATTTAGAGCTCTGTCCCTTTAATTTCATAGCCAATTTCATCCACCTGATACTCTAGTCTTAACCCTGAAAAGTGATTTGACTTACAGCGACAGCCAGCGCTGTTTAGAGACAGAGCCTTCCTCCACAAAACACCCCTGTCCTATCTCTGTGCCAAACAGTGTGTTGTGGTTATACTCGATGTACTGTAATAACTGGGGGTGTATCGGTTCAGATTTTTCACGGTTTGGTTTGTATTATGTTTTAGATCAGTAAATACTTCAGATGTTGTGGTTAAGGGTACCAGTTAGGTTAATTTGAAGCTGCACACTATAACTTCATATTTTAGAACACCCAATACTAAAATTATTCTCCACATTTATTTTTCACAAAGCCCCTTTTATTATACCTTTACATGCATTAAGCCATATGTTGATTATAGTAAAAAATAACATCTCCCTTCCTCTCTCTCTCTCTCTCTCTCTCTAAAAAAAATCAATAGTAAATAAATATTTTTCTGATGGAAATTATTTTAGCGTTTTATTTATATGTACCAAGTAACAAAATATTAAGTGTTAAAATATGTGTGTGTGTCTCTATCTATCTATCTATCTATCTATCTGTCTATCTATCTATCTGTCTATCTATCTGTCTGTCTGTCTGTCTTTTTATTATATATATATATATATATATATATATATATGGCGTTACACTTTATTTTTTTTTAACCATGTTATCTCACTAACATAATATTAGGCATCTTTCACTGATATTTATTGCTTTTTCTTCCTGTTACCCAACTTAAGTGTTTACAATGAACAAAAGATTTAATGAACTTTGTTCACCTCGTGAAAGTGTGGGATGTTTGTGTTGATAACACTGTCCTCAATGCTGCGTTTTCATTTTGCAGTCGCTTCATGCTGCACAATCAGTCAAGCAGGTTGGATTATTTATTTATTTTATTTTTTTGCTTTTACTGAGAATAGACACATGACCCTTGTGTTGTCTGTAAGTGAAAACACCATATGCTGGTGAGGGAGGTCCACCAGGTCCGCTGCAGCATATTGTCCATACTTACACTACAGGTGCTTCACCACAGTTGTCTTGGTCATGCATAGTGCTGTGATATTCAGACTGGAGCATGATAATGCTCACTGAGCCTTAAGTAGCCAAGATATCTCCATTCAAAATGATATCTTCCGCTCCACTCTACTGCCAGATACGAGCAACTTCTGTATGGATGGCAATGGCGTGACGCACTTTCACCCGCTCTCCATTACAAGTGAACCACTTTTCATTTCGTAATTATATGTTTGCCTCAGTGGCCATCACGCTCTGAGCCCTGGATGCTGTAACAGATGGCCTTGGGCCCTCAATTTATTGCTTGCTGTTTTCCACACACTTCACCTCTCTGGGGTTTTAGATTATACAGGACACATCATTCATAAAATTATATTGATTTTAGTTGTTGTGTTTTTCCCTTCCTGTGTTCCCTTGCAGAAACCAAGCACATGAAACCATTGTATAGAATAAGGTTGTCACGACAGCAGTATTTCAGTAGTCGATACGAATACAAGTGATTTTCTCAAGGTACTAATTTCAAGGCTACAGCAATGTTCAGTAGCAATTATGAAACTGCACTGCTTTTACATAATTGCTTAAACTGCAATTATAAAAAAAACACTACTTTTAATTATTAAAGTTAAATATTAATAACATAGTAAATTAAAACAGCATTCAAATATTTCTTAAGTAAACATTGCTTCAAGTAAATACAGCTCTGATACATGTTCTTTTACAAGCCCAGGGCGAGTAAGACTGCAACTCAAGGCTGGCAGTCATGCATATGCTCTGGAACAGAGTAATATCGCGTCCATATCGCAGGCTTTGCGATTAGCAAATCGCAACGTCTCAAATCGCGATTTCGATTCGATTTCGATTAATCGCACAGCCCTAATTCTAATCAAATTTTTTGTCTTGCCTATGTACATTTTAACAATTCTAATCATTTTTTTTTTCAATTCTACACAATTAAAAAAAAAAATTT